CAATCAAGTATTCCCAACCCCGAGTTTCTGGTATATTTACCTCGCTAAAATAACCTCACGACGGCACATACAAGTCACAATGGTTCTATTCGAGGTGTTCAAGATGATGATGATTCAATTCCAATACTAAAAGACAATACAGCAGCCAATCTGTGGCCGCAAGGAAATCGAGTCCGATCGATCCTTATTGCGAGAAATCCCTATGATGATGAAAAACGACAACCATGAAAGTACGAAAACCACTTTTGTTTGAATCCCCGGCAAGTAGCGTCATCGTCGACAACCCAAAAACCATGTCGACGAGCCTACTGCCTCCTGATTAGATAGCTGGAGGGTGATCCAAAGAGGAAATGCTTTGGGGCCCAAGTGCCCCCCTCCAGTTCCGAACGTGCAAGCAACAAACATACGAATCGGTTCATTGACCACCTTGCAGCGCGATCTTCTTCCAGTGATCCCTCTCTGCCTCAAGCTTTGCAATCTTCTCCTCCAATTCGTCGAATCGCTGGGCCTTTCGCTCCCGTGACTTACGAGCCGCTAGAGTGTTGCGCGCTCGCTTCATTGCGACAGTGTCGCTGGGATCGTCAACAATGATGGGAGGGAGAGGCTTGTCACGCCGCCGAGAGTTTACGCCAGACACAGAAGAGTGGCGGTTGGACGGAGAGTGAGAGTTGCCGCCAGACTTGCGGCGCTGAGACGTGGGCTCAGACACCTCCAAGTCGTCGGATTGCTGAGCGGGTGAGGTGTCAACAGCGGATTGCTGGGTCTGCGTGGTGCTGCCCTGAGGGAACAGCGGGAACCACACGTCGTTGGACCCAGTGTCAAAGTCGCTGCTGCCGAAGTTGGGAGAGACATCAAAACTGTCATTGAACTCTGGGGACTCATTGTAGATGGACGGTGAGGTCAGAGCAGTGAGTGCGGAAGAGTTCGGCGCAGACATGAACGGCTCCTGGATCAGGAGGTCCTGAGGAGAAACAGTGCCCATGTTGGTTGTGGAGCTGGAAGCACTGCCGTACATGGCTGGCGAAGAGAAGGCCGAGGTGGAGGCACCACCCTCGAAGGCCGTGAATTCTTCAAGGTCGAGATCTGAGCGGGGATGTGAGCCTTGCGGTCCCGCGCGTTGCGTTGGTGAGGAGAAAGAATTACCTTGAATCATTTTGGCTTGGCCTTGCGGGACGCTACCGGTGCCTTGAGAAAACAGTGGAACTGGCGGACGAGCAGGACGGTTCTGCTGGTTCACGTTCAAAGCAACGGAAGAGGATGGAGCAGACGATGCGTAAAACTGATGAGAGTTCTGCGCAGGAGAGCTAAACCGATTTGTGAAAGCCGGAGACGAAGTGTTATGCCCTGTTGCCTGGATGATCTGAGCAACTCGCTGATTCTGCAGGTGCGAAGCGGACGCAGTGGCAGATATCTGGTGTTGTTGGTGCTGTTGGTGCTGTTGGTGCTGATGTTGACCTCCTATGGCGGAAGGTTGAGAGACAGAGCGGTTAGGTTGATGACGCTTCGTTGGCGTATCGAACAAGACAAAGTCCTGTTGATGTGGCGGCAGATTCAGATGCTGAAACTGTGATTGCGCGGGTGTTGCCGGCAGGCTCGATGAACTGGAGGGAAGCCATGTTGACTGGTGTGAATCCGTGGTGAAGACTGGGAAGTCTTGGACCGAAATGGTGGCGGTGGTGGGAGAGGAACCTGAGCGAGAGCTGGAAGCTATGCTGAAGTTCAGATCGACCTTTTCAGGAAGAACTGAGGTTGAAGAGTGAGGGGAGATGGTGATTGTGTTAAAAACTGGGTTTGAGTGAAGCGACGTAATCTTGTCGACTGGTGCACGAGGCTGGGAATGTGGGGAGACGGGAGTCTACGACATCTTGAGAGTTGATGCCTTGTTGTATTATGTTTCTGGTGTGAATGTTGGGGTTGGAGGAGAGAAGAAGAGAGAGGAGGAGCGGCGCGGAACGGGGAAGGACTGGACTTTTGTATTTTTTCAGGCAGCAACAGGCCAAACACGAGGCAGACGGCGCGTGCCACCACGCCAGCCCTAGCCCCTCCAGCTGGCCGTTGCTGGCGAGCCAGGTCACCCTGCTAACCACTAACAATTACACTTTGGTGAGGGGCTGCAGCGATTGGCCGCTTCGTCTGATAGGCGGGCGGGCCAGCAGAGGTACACCTCTTCCACTGAATGGCCGCGTACCTTGTGAGGTGGAAGCGGTGGACAATGGGTGAATGGCCCGCCAGCGCCTGCCCTTTCTCCCGCCCGCTGTCCCTCAGTCTGTCCTTCCAACGGCTGGCTGTCGACCGTGTGAGTCATACTTGATTTTGGCGCTATCCCGTTTCGGGACATGCGACATGGAGGGGCCTAGCAGGGGTTTTAAGTGGTGCTGCAGCAGAATGCCGCAAAAATCTCTTGGAAGAAATGAAGCGGGCCCGGTCCACAGCCCCAAGTGCGGCAGCCGCTCAACCACTCACGTCCCGTCGCTGTCTGGCAGCCCCACTTGCCCCACTCCCTTGGGAAGCCCTAGGACCGCTCAGCCCGAAGGAGTTTAGCGGGTCCAGGACTCTGACCGGAAGTCCGCCGCCCTCATTGGTGGGTTCCGGGCAGCCTGAACAGGCAATCGCATTCGCAGGGCGCAGAAGCGACAACTCGAGGCCTTTTACTATACCGTACAGTAGACGGGGTTTAGGTTGAGGCCCTTTCTCTCCCTCTCTAATTGACCCGCCCCGCATCGTGCCCCCTCCTACAGCGACTTAGTGCACTGTGGCATGCGAAAAAGCGCATCTGCGCGCGATCTCTCGACCTGCGCACGTCCACATCAGATCACAGAGCGATACACGAGGCACACGATACGCAATGCGCTGGGTCCAGGCCACGCAGCTTCGCTGAGGTGTCGAGATGTGCCATATCTGGCTTCACCCGAACTGGCCTGAGGACGCGGAATCCATCGACACCAATCACCCAGGTATACGTACAAGGGGCCATCACGCAATGCGGCCAGACTACGAAAGCTTGGTAATGGACAGAATAGTATGTAGGCAGGTAGACTTTTTGCAAGGGCGTTACACATTTGCGTACAGACATCATCAGATCAGAGCTAATGTCAGCGATGCAGCATTAATAATCTGCCCCAAGGGCTTGCATTGACCCTGCCTGTAAAAAGGTCGAATCTCATTGAAGCATACATAGTATTCAGGGACTAGATTTGCTAGGACTGACCCTCATGGATCCTCCACACTCGTATCTACTCTATCTATCCATTGTATTGAATTGGATATTGCAAAGCCTCGCTGTGCTGCAGGACTTTGTTGCTTCTCCATGGCGGTCCTACCTGTCATTGGCAAGCCCCAAGGCGGCTGTGCCGGACCGCCATTCTCGACTGGCTTTTGCTAGCCACATCTTCCAGAATGCCATCAAATGAAGTATCGAGAAACAAAACTAGCCTCCGTGTAGGTATCACAAGGTGGTAACCGCCTGGAACGTTACCCTCATCTTAACGGCTGGCCCTGAATGACGGACCTCAAACCTCGTGGACGAGGATGTGGACGTCGGGGTGTGCGTGTTGAATGCATTCCTACTGGCAACCCTTCTGCCGGTAACTTCCCTTGTGGTCTACGACTCCGACAATTCCTCTTGAATTATTGATCT